GTAGCGGATTTTGGCCAGGTGTCGGGTGGTTGGGTTAGCCAGTTGGGCCCATGCCACCACAGAGAAGAGGAGGCTAAGTCGAGGGGTGTGCATCCTCTTGTTCCCATGTCCGCGGGATTTTCGCTGCTGCAAACATGCCTCCAAGTGGAATTTCCTACCAGATCAATGATTTGCGCGGTGCGGTTCGAGACGTAGGTTTTCCAGGAGTGGGGCGGTTTTTCCAACCAGGGCAGGACTATTTCTGAATCTGACCACATTGTCAATTTTCGATCTGAGAAACCAAGTTGCGATTGGACAGCTGAGGCTAATTTAGCTAGAAGGAGAGCCCCACGTAGTTCGAGTCGAGGTAGGCTAATGGTTCTGAGGGGCGCAACCTTGCCTTTTGACACCAGTAGGTGGGAAGAGACTCGTTCACCCTGTGTGGCTCGGACGTATATGGCTGCGCAATACGCTTTTTCCGAAGCGTCGCAGAACCCATGTAGCTCCATTTGTTAGCCTGGAACGTAATTGACCCATTGGGGTGTTTGAATGGCCGAGATAGATTTCAAATTGTTGGCGAATTGCAACCATTTATGGAGGCGGAGGGGTTTGACTTGTTCATCCCAGTCAGTTCCATCGAGCCATAGCTCTTGTAAGAGAACTTTGGCTTGAATCATTATTGGCGAGAGTCATCCTGCGGGGTCGAAAAGTTTAGCGACAGAAGAGAGAATCTGTCGCTTTGTGCTCGCCGACGAGGCTGATATGGATTCAATAGTGTAAGAGAAGGAGTGAGTAATGGCATTCCATTGAATCCCGAGGGTTTTGGTGATACTTGCTTTTTCGAATTCGAGAAAGTTGCTCTCAGGCAAGTCCTCCTTTTTTATGTCTTTCAGCAAATCAGGGTGGTTCGCCGTGATCTTTTTTAAGGAAAAGCCAGCGGATTTTAGAGCTTGAATGACTTGGGAGAGAGATTTAGTTGCTGAGATGAGGTCATGACTTCCAGAAAGTATGTCGTCCACATATGTTTCGGTTTTTAGTATTGGCACCGCCAAGGGATGTGTTATTTTTACATCATCAGAGAGTTGGTTAAGAGTGCGTATTGCGAGAAATGGTGCGCAATTTACACCGAATGTCACGGTTTTTAACCTGTAGTCTCGAATGGGGCTGCTTGCAGATGATCTAAATATAATTCTCTGGTAATTCTGGTGGTCTTTATGTAAAAGTATCTGACGATA